CCCATAATATTGTATTTTCATCATAAACATCTCTGTTCAAATGATTCAGAGTCCTTAAAAACATCTTCAGTCGTAATAAGAAGCTATCGCCAAGGTTTTTTACTATACAATACAATTTAAAAATACAACGGTAAGCGCAACTCACCAGCTTCAAAATCAAGAGTTGCTAAATTTTGTCCTACCCAGGAAAACAAACCACCTCAGGTCCACACTCACAAAATTTGCTTATCTGACTTGATCGAGGCCATCAAACATAGGAAACTAAAGTGATGCTATCACCTCAACTGAGACGCCATGCTGAGGTCAAACATTCATGGTCGAGGTGAAGTGCCACAATTTGCTGTAGTTCATTTCGAAGCGAAGAACCTTTGATTCCATAAGGCATTTCCCTAGTTTCGCCTCTTTCAAGAGATCTTCCATACAAGATCCTCCACACGATTATTTGATGTGATATCTCTACAGTAAACGCTTCTTAGTCAACTTGTCAAGCCTTGTTACACCTCTCCACCGTGTCTTAAAAGGGTGCTAACATGGCATCTCATGTGGGTTCCAGTCAGGGGTTGAAGCATTGTGGCCTACATCCAACGTCATCAATATTGACAAGTCAATGGCCACAAAGAAGAGCTTCATAACGAAGCCCATTTGCCGAAGCAGATTGATAATGAAAAAGAGCTTCATAACGAAGTCCGTTAGCCGAAGTAGAGTGATAACAAAGAGGAGATTCATTTCGAAGCTCATTTCCGAAGTAGATTAGTAAAAGCAGAAGTGGCACCTCAGTCTGTGGCTCATATTTGAAATAGAACACCTTTCTTCCCTTTAAAGATCATGTAAAAATCTTTTGAATAATTGATGTGACCTCAAGTAGGAGAAGAATGTTAAAAACTTGTTAGCTTAGGCCATAGGGTGGCTACATTTTTAGAATGTATTAAATGCGTTACAGGGTATGAAGTGTAGGTAGGTTCCTATGGTGGGATGCTTCAATCAAGGGGATGAAGCCACATGCTTCTCATCCAATGGCCAACACTTCATCTGTATCACTAAAAATACTCCACTTTGTATCTTTTGAAGTACACGCATAATATGAATAATTATACATAGACTTAGAGAACTATTGTTATGCCTTTCCACCAAGGGCAAAAGGTGCTACTTGGCATCCCATCCAGTCATAGGACAAAGCCATGTGGCCAACATCCAACGTTATTAATATTTACATGTCAATGGCAGCAAACAGGAGCTTCATAACGAAGCCCATTTACCAAAGCATAGTGATAATGAATAGGAATTTCATAATGAAGCCCATTTGCCGAAGTGGAATGATAACAAAGAGAAGATTCATTTTGAAGCTCATTGCCGAAGTGGATTGGTAAAAACAGAAGTGGGACCTTAATCCGTGGCTTACGTTTGAAATAGAACACCTCGCTTTCCTTAAAAGATCATGTGTCAGCTTGGACCATAAGGTGGTTATCTTTTTTAAATGCATGAAATGCGCTACATGCTATAATGTGTAGGTAGGTGCCTATGGTGGGATGCTTTAGTCAAGGGGATAAAGTCACATGCTTCTTCATCCAATGGCCACTATAAATACTTGACTTCGTATCTTTTCAAGAATAATACAAATTTGCTTACAAAAGATTATATTGTGTTTTCTCTCTAGCTTTACATATCGATTCTTGTTCCTTATGTGTCATAAACCCCCGGTGCTCGAACACTTGACTGGCTCATGTCCAAAGTGCACATCCCACACCCACTTCCTAAACACATTGCTAGTCAACCGTTCTTCCATGTGGGCTGAAGTAAGCTTGTTCGGACGCGAGTGGGGCTTGGGATTCTGTTGACGCATTTTAGGGTCAACAAGTCTACTTCTTTAGATGTTAAACCTATGTTATGAGGACGATTCCTAAATCGTCAAGATGTGGTCACATGTATTTCATTCAACGTTAATCACTTCACTTCTTCCGCTGTAAAAAAAAACTCACATTTAATGTCATTTACAGATAATGCAATTTTAAACTCTCTACATGGTATTCTTGCCTATTATTTTCTCTCTATAACCTAGTGCCCGTACAAGTACTCGTAGCTTATGTTTTCCATTCATCCCACACTCAAATTCAAGTTGATTGACTTCATTCTTGGGTGCTTGGAGCTACCTCCCACACCATTAAAAGCTACGTGCTTCAATGATTTGTTCAAGTGTGCATGAGCCTTACGTGTACACATGAGTGAAGTGGGGATACGTTGGTCATATTTGTCCAGTCGAACACCCAAATGTTTTTTCAGTTTCACGTTGAATAAATTGAATATACGTTATTAATCCAAATTAACAAAATTAAGTTTTTCCTTTTATTTCTAAAAAAGTGCAACAAATTTGAGGCCATGGGCTAATCTCCTTAAATAACATCCGTTTTTTTCAATTTCAAAATAAAAAAAAATTTATGGACAAATTGGAAATCAAATGTTTCTTCACTATATATTTTAAATATTCTATTGTAAGTCGTATGTAATTTAAAAGTAGTGCTACTTGTACATAATTATTTACAGATTGATGTACAGAGAAAGAGAGAAATATATAAAAAAAAAAAAGGGGGAAAGGAAATCAATTATATTTTAATATAATATCATGCTATTAATTTGTACATCGATTTGTAAATGTTATCAAGACTTAAATTTTTATCTTAAAATGTTAAATTTATTAAGAGGAGTTATCCAAACTTTCATCTTATTTGACATGGGACCCTCAGCATGTTTCATAAAATGATACCGCTTGAGAACATAAATCTTGAAATTTGATTATTGATTTGAGCTTTAAATAGATTGATTTCTTCGTTAATGCTTAATGAGAATTGATGCCATGTCGAAACTCAAACAATTAAAAATTTCAACATTGTTAAGATAAATAAAACAATCATTCGTGTATAATATATTTATTTCATCTTCATTCGATGTGCTATTTACCATGAATATAGAGTACGTCACAAGATTATGGTGTCAGGTTTAAATCCCTTATTCGATCACATTCAGTACAAAAGGAAAATACCTTTTACTTTAAGGGTGCGTTTGATCGCGAGAGTGAAAAATAGATGAAAAAAATGAATTTAAGAGAAAGTAATTGTCTAGAAATTGTTTTGCAGGCAATTGTTAATTAAGTGTATTTGATTGATATAATTTTTTACCTGGAAATTTTTTAAATTTTGGATTTTTTTTGTTCGTTTAACTTTGTTTTACANCAAAATTTAGTGTTTGTTTGATTTTGTTTTATATGATAATTGTCCATTAAAGTGAAAAACAAAATTTACAACTGATTATGAAATTTGTTTTCATCGCCCCAAAAAAAAAAAAAGAAAAAAAAGGCAGCAGCACCTAGAAAACCCTTTCCCACCAAAATTCAATTTTGAGAAAAATAGGCGTGTGAGAGAGGTGGGGGAAAAAGTTTTCTTGGCAATTTTTAACCTATCAAACACACAAATTGAAGGAAAATGAAATTTGTTTACGATGAAAAAACTACGCAATCAAACAGGCCTGAAGAATAAGCAAAACATGATGAAAATAGCATATCAAAAGTAATAAAGTACAGTAATATGAAAAAAGTATATCAAGTTTGCACGGTCTAATAATTGATCTGGAAAATTGTACATTGATTAAAAATTGGTTCAAATCTGTGAAGCCCCACTTCTTTAAGTGTAGCTTCATCGATCCATAGTAGTAAATGAGTTTTGTTCTTTTTCGTAAAAAGCATTTAATCAATGCCTCGATACATGGATCAAGACGGTACTATAAAAATACAATGCACATGGTATGTCGACCGACCACCTGCAGAAATGTCCATAATTAATCAACAATGGTTCTTCGAACTAATACATTTCAATAATTTAACAAAAATTAAGATTCATCGAGATTCATGAGTTGATTGATTATAAATTCGAATTGCATTAATTTTGAAAAATCTGAAAATTTCTGTAAATTTCATTTCTAGCCACGAAATACGTAATATTTCAAGAACTCTAAAATTTTTAAGTTAGCATGATTATCGAAGAGATTCAATACTTGACAACTTATAGATGGTATTGTCGGATTTTCGAAAGTAAAGCTTTAACTGTAACTAAAAAAAAAGGGTTGAATCCCAACCTTGAGGGCTCCCCACTGCCCCACCCTTAGAATATCGTGGAGGAGGTAAATCACGGGATGTGTCTCAACAGGTCACGGTACAAGAGCTATCATACTGGTGCTCACAAAGAGTCCAATTTCATACTTTGTAAGAGACAGGAATTGAACTCTCACATTGCAACTGCTAACTCAACTAAGATTATTTCACTCCTATCATTTGTACCACTGAGTTATGCCCCGAGGGGCTAACTGTAACTATATTGGATAAAAGAGCTTGCATTGAAGGAAAACTGCTTAGTCCATGTTTAGCCCTCATTTCTTAAAACTCATTTTTTCTCAAACTCATTTTCAACCATACATTTTATAAGATTCACTACTTTCCTGACTTTTAACAACATATTTAATCAATTATTATCAAAAACTGTTAATTTGATTTTAACCCAAATCATTTAGGGGCTTATTTTAACCATAAAATAATCAAAAAAAGGTTATTAAGCTCATGTTTGGTACCAATTAAAATCTAGATTTTAGTCTAGGTCAAAGTCAACAAATTATTTTAACCATATATTTCATCATCTTTTATCAATATTTACTGAAAATCTAATTTCAATCCCTATGAAACACAGGCAAAATTTAAAATCCCTTGATAACTTATAGTCAATATTTTAAGCTTAACAGAAGATGCTGTCGGGTATGATTGAGTGACTCACATAATCGATGCTTAGATAATGTTGAGTCAGCAATCAGCATTTTATCCATATCCTTTCCATACAGATCACCGCACCGCACAGGATCAACCGTGTATCCAATAGTCCAATCATCGCTGCGCCTCTATATATAATCCATTCATCTCAAAAACTATTCGTTAAATCTCAACCGCAGAGAGACACTGATTTATCATGGCTTCAACATCATTTTTTCTTTCAAACCAAACAATTCGCTCAACCATTCTACCGCCGTGCAATGCCACCTTCCGCCGCCCTCTGAGTATCTCCGCCACTTGCGCCACCTCTCAGAGAACCTGTAGTTCGAATATCAGCACCGAATATGCTCCAAAACAGGGGTCTCTATACGAAGTTTTGGGGATTCAAATGGGTGCTTCGTGTCAAGAAATCAAAACCGCGTATAGAAGATTAGCCAGATGTTTGCATCCGGATGTTGCATCCAACAGTGGAGATGAGTTTATGAGAGTGCATGCGGCTTATGCAACTCTTTCTGATCCGGAGAAGCGTGCAACCTACGACATGGAACTTTTCCACCGGAGGCGACCGACGGTGATGTCGGCGAGGGGGTATTCTCGCCGGAGCCGAAATTGGGAAAGTGACCAGTGCTGGTAACTCAATTTGTGAAATGATTAGCTAAAAATGTAGACATAAGCGGCAATGGTGGAGGCTGGAGGAACTAATTTACAGAGTACCGTCTACTGTCTACAGTTAGTGTAAAGATTCTGAAGATTTGAGCAAATGGTAACCCGCGCAGACACACTGGAATGGGCCTTGCTTTTTGTTTGTTCTTTTAGAAGACATTTTTTTCTTTTTTTTTTGAGATAATTGCAATGATCCCAAACCTTTTAAATTATTGCATATTTTATTCTAACTTTTCATTTATATCAGCATTGGTCCCAAATGTTTCAATCTCGTGTAGCGAAAGGACCTTAGACGATTTTTGTCTGTCTAGTTGATCGTTAGTTGATCAGAAAAATGGGTCTAACATCAATTTTGACCAATTTTAAACGACAATTTTACATTTTTTTCACATAAAATAAGAAGAAGAAAAAAGGATATTAATTTTCAATGGCTCCAATTGTTAGTGATTGATTTCACCATTGCCGACGCAAGTGAGGGGAAAAAGTAACCCTTGTTTAATGAGGATTAAAATAATATTTTTAGTAGATTTTAATAAAAGTGGATAAAATGTGAGGTTGAAAAGTTGTGGATCTCATGAATTATGTGGTTGAAATTAATTATTAATTTTGATTTAAATTAAAATCACGTGACAGTATTTCAGCTTCGTACATTCAACAACAATAAATTCTTATGGATGTCCTGTATGGGAGAAAAGGTTCACAGTTTCAGCTAAAATCAGGTCTAGAAGAGTGATTTTGATTTTGATCACAGGCCCGCACCTTGTTTCTGCATAGAGCAGTTGGGCAAAATGCCTACATACTGTGACGGGCATAAATTGGTCCATACTGAGCCATGACAGCCCTGCGACCTGATTTTTTACACTAGATATACACAGTCCTGTCCATTTGATCCGAAAAGAAAATAAAAAAATGAACATGCGTTGTTTTATCTTACTTACTAAACTCTTGGAATATTATCATTTCAACATATCAGTCAAGCATAGTTCACACGTTCAGCAGCAAGTCTTCCTTCCAGATTCTTCTTCTGTTCTTCAATTCTCGTTCACCAGCACATGCATCGCTTCCAGATCCTTCTTCCTCTTAATTTGTTAGCTATATTTCTCTATAAATAGAGCTCTTGTATGTATTGTAATTCTCAAGTTGAATGAATTAAATATTCACCTTCTTCCCTAATCCCTGCCATTCCAGTAAATTCTATTCATTTTATTTTCAATTTCAATTTTTTCTGGTTTTAGTAGTGTTATGTCCTTCAATTTTGTTTTTCCTTGATTTTATCATGGTATCAGAGCGAAAATTGCTCTTTCCGTCTGCATTTTATTCTCTATCATTTTCTTCTTCTTCTTCTTCTTCTTCTTCAATAATCAACGCCGGAATGAAGAAAGCTGAAGATTGGAGTGAAGAAATCTGAAGATCTGTTCCAGCAGCTCCTGTCCGTTCCACTCAGTTCCTGTTTTATTTTTGCCGTGTTATTGCTGGTTCTTCACATTAAGTATCCAGAATGGCCTGATCATGGAGTTCCCAAGTTCTCCATTTCTCGTCTGCCACGTGTTTGTTAAAATGCTTGCAAAGGCTTGGAGATTGTACTGGTGGTTTTTTCTTCCAGTCCTTGCTGGAGTTTATTGAGCATTTCCAGTTCTTCTTTCACTTATCAATGGTGATGATGTTTCTTCTTCAGCAAAACCCCAGTTCAGAGCCATGAATGCTCCTTTTATTTCGGTTTTATATTGCTGATTTTTCTCTCTGGAGTGCTTCTCTTTCGACCCCAGACTTCTCTCTTGCATCTTTGTTCTCCTCTCTACAATTCAAGATGTTTCATCTTGAGGGGGAGTGTTGGAATATTATCATCTCAACAGATCAGTCAAGCAACTGTTCACACGTCCAGCAGCAAGTCTTCCTTCCAGATTCTTCTTCAGTTCTCGTTCACTAGCACATGCATCTCTTCTAGATCATTCTTCCTCTTAGTTTGTTAGATAGTTTGTTAGCTATATTTCTCTATAAATAGAGCTCTTGTATGCATTGTAATTCTCAAGTTGAATGAATTAAATGTTCATCTTCTTCCCTGTCATTCCTGTTGGGAATTTACTTAAC